GAAGGAAGAATTTCTAGACAAATATAAGTTCTACATAAGTTTCCAATACAATTAAACCGAAATTGTTTTGTATGACTTTATTGCTTTTCATTTTTACTACTAATATTATTGATTTTAGTCTAAGAAGTTGCACATACTATTAAAGCCCTACGAATAATTATCGGACTACTCCATTCTTGACCCCACCAGTAGTACAGATTCCTTTGCCAGGGATGTTAAATGGCTCTCCCTTGTAGTTTGGAATTCCTTCTGCGTCAGTCTTGAAATCAGGAGCACATTGTTCCCAGACCTTATTTTGCAAAATACATTTGTTAGCATACACCTACTTGCAAGAAGGTTGTCATACAAGAATAGAATATTTGTAATTTAGTGAGAAAGGAATTCATTAAAAGACAAAAGAAAAAGTTCAGCTTCAGTGATCTTCTTTTGTTTTTTAATATAATTCCTATCCCACTAAATCACTAATGTTCTATTTTCGTATGACAACGTTCTTGCAAGTAGGTGTATGACAAGTAGTATATGAGTATAAAATACAGGGTTTGTGCTGAGGTAAACACTTAAAATTCAAGGAGTATTCAAGGAGTATTCAAGGGCCCAAAAATGAATTTTCAAGGAGTATGTTCAGCTAAATATGCCAACGTTTTACACGGTGGTTGCACATTGCCGACTTTCAGATTTTCCAATCTTTCTGACTAGATCTATTTCAGAACCATGCAAGTAATGATCAAAGCAAAATTCAAGGAGTTTTCAAGGAGTTTCGCTAAAATCGTAAAATTGAAGAGCTTTTCAAGTGCCCTTGAAAACGTGAATTAAATTCAAGGAGTTTTCAAGGAGTTTAAGGAGTAGCACAAACCCTGAAAATAATACTCAAGCTGGGAACTAAAAGACTTTAGCTAGCTCATTAATATTTAATCACAAGGGCAATTTAACAAAGCATTAAACTGCTCACAGAGTGATGGTAGTTTATGATATTTCATTTGAATAAATAAAAAATTTGGTCAACTTTTGCTTTGATTTCAACAAAAACTATTAGTGGTTTTAAAAGCCATATCAACACAGTATCAGTGCAATAAAATAAACTCTGGTTGATTTACTGTAAGTCAGGGTACAACTAAATTGACATTTATGGTTGTAAGGTTATTGTGGAGAGAGGAAAGCCAAGAATCCAGAGGAAAAACTCTTGAATCAAGGGAGAGATCTATAAAAGTCCTCTCAAATCATGTGATGGTGAGTCCAGAAAACTAACCCAAGACACCAGAGGTGAGAGGTGAATGCACTCTTGCTATGCTATCCTTGATTACCAACAAAACCTTAACTTCTTTATGAGACAGATTAGGATGTTTGCACTRTGGCGTCATTGACCTCTACTAACAGACTCTCTTAAACACTTTCTTTTGTTCAGTTAATTGTCTTACTATTCTCATGAGGGAATACAAATTTACATAAGAAAGAAAATTCGCAAAAATCTTGATTGTGGGAGTCAAATGACACCACCATACAAATGTCCTATTATCACTTTTTTTTAAAAGAATACTTGCCTTTTTCTTTGGATTAAGCTGTGCATCGGGTGTTCCTGGAAAAGCATCAAATACAACCCTGTCTCCTGGTACAGCACCCTTGGGTGGAAGCACCACTGACCATTTTCCTTCAGCTAGGGCACACATCACCATTCCTTGGGAAAAGATCCCACGCATCCTAACATAAAGTAACATAAACAAAATCAGCCATCTTGATTTATATAAGGAAAGTCATCTCATCAGTGTGTTTGTGTTGGAGAAGGAGCGTAACTTTGTGTTTTTTTTAGAATCACAGAATATCAAGTTCTACAGAAGAAAATATATCTGAGGGTGGCAAGGCTCTGATTCCAAACTCTTTCTGTTGGGGATTAAACTAGTATAGACCAATGAATGGGTAACATCCAACTAAATGTTAGTACATTTCTAACCTTTTTTAATCAGTGTCTAAGTTTATTTATTATTCATATTTTCAACACAATGTTTGATTATTTAGCAAATAATCAAACGTGTTGAAAATATGAATAAGATAGTCAAATATGTTGTGATCTTGATCAAAAGCCTTAAAAGTCTTGTGCTACATACTTTACTGGTTTGAGATTGGCCATTATAACAACCATAGCTCCCTGGCAATAAATATAAAACACAAATGGTGAGCTTGTATACACATTAAGCAACATTGCTTTTTTTCCTGCAACTTACATTTAAATCCTCCATAGGTATATGACCAACAAGACCACTGCAAATTGTCCTTGGAGTTGCTTCACCAACATCAACTTTAAATTCAAAATTCAAATACCATATTGTGAATTAATTTCTTATTTAGCAATTTTTACCCCTTTTAATAGGTGCTCACAAGGGTGGTTGACTGTGTACTTTTTATGACTAGATGACACATGTTGGTCAACTGTTGCCAGATTGTCAGCCATGCATTTGGCAATGCGTTGGCATGCGTCAGCTGGTCATAAAGTTCATGATTCAGGTTTCCAAGACAGGGGTATCCTGGTCACAGATAGGAATAATTTAGCAAAATTATTCATATGGGCCACAATTTAGGGATCATAGTTTTGCGTTGGGTTTGTTGTTGGACCCAACGACCCAACACGGCAAACATCAATATAAGGTATATGAGCTTACTTCTGATCACAGTTTTGTGCCTATGAAGGTAAAGGTGCTTTTGCTTGTGCGCATGCCCATCTATTGTTTTATCATAGGTCACGTGACCTTTAATTTTTGCACCATACTCTCACCTCCTGCATTTAACACACACCAGGATTCTTTTATATTTACATGTTTCCTCTTCACTTTTTTTTTGCTAAAGCCATCTTTTCCTTTCTTAACTTGTAACCACTCATTCCTGATGCTCTGAAACCTGCGCTGTTGTATGATAATTTTCTGCCATATTGATGGTTAACCCAGCACCACCCGCAGTACATGCAAAACTATCGTTTTCTTCAAGACCATAACTATATTCACTATTGCGTAATTTAATAAGTTACACCGGATTGTCGATATCAGTCGTGATATTGACAATGATGTAAGGTTTCTGGAATATAAAAGTCGTAAAACACAACGACTGGTACATAATTCCCAATAGGGACTAGGATTTTTCTGAGTTCCCTTACTTTCGCTAATCATTGACACTGAATACTATTTACTCTCCTAGTGATAGCAGCCAAATTATTCTACATCTTGACATAAACTTACTTTCCTCCACAAACAATGTATCAGCCTCAGGGTGCTTCCTGATGGAGTTGATTTTACCAATAATGAAGTTGAACCTTGATGCATCAAGTTTAGCATCATCACCTTTCTTTGCTGCAAACATAAAAACATAACAAAGTCTTGATTAACAATAACCCTCAAAATGCCAAATAAATTGAACTTCATTAATCCTTGATATGAAGATATAACTAGCTAAAAACTAGTGTGAGCTGCGTCGGTGTTTCTAATGAAACAGTAATGATGAAAAAGTAAATTATACACCGTGAATAGATGAAAAAACTTACTGACGTTTCGGACGCTAGTCCTTCATCAGAGTAAAAGAGAAAGAGGTGGTAGAAAGGAGTGTATAACCACCTACCACCTACCAACTCGTTTTTCATCTTTTCACAGTGCATAATTTACCTTTTCATCATTACTAATCCTTGATATATTAATCCTCTTTTACTCTGAGGAAGGACTAGCGTCTGAACAAGCAGAAAGTTTTTTCATCTTTTAACGGAGCATAATTTACCCTTTTATCATTTCTAATCCTTGATATACATGTATGAATAATAATTAATGCAATGACTTACAAACACTTTTTTTTTTGCGAGAGAAAGCTTTAAAAGTAACTACATTTACAGATAAATTTATATTTTACATCATGATAAGGAGAGTGGTATTGCCAACAGCCTATTAAAAAAAGACAAATGTTTGAGCATGCAAGGCACTCCACACTCACTACCAAGGTGCTACATATTCTAAGCAAAAATTCCTTGTAGCAACCTCTATTGACATGTGGGATCTGTAGAATTTAAGTGAACCCAGAATTTCGAGAATTGAAAAGTACTCCACCAGGATTAATTATATCAAAAGTTCAAGGGTCTTCTTCTAAATCACCTTGTTTTGGAGCCTTTTCAGCTTTAGGTTTCTTCTCTGCCTTCTTTTTTTCTCCTTGTTGTGCTGGGTTCTTCTCTGGTTGTTTTGCAGAAGCAGCAACAGCAACAGCAGCCAATGCAGCAACAGCAGCCGGTACAGCGACAGCAGCCGGTGCAGCAACAGCAGCCGGTGCATCATTTGTAGCAGCAGGTGTAGGTTTTTGTGGAGCAGTATCTCTGGCTGATGGTAATGCTACTTGCTTTACTAAAAAAGATAGCAATAAATTTATTATGGAGCTGCAAAGTCAAGAGAAATCAAAATGGGATACCTGTGGTATCATAAGAGTGAATGTTGGAAGAAATCAAAAAACCAAACCATTTAAATGGATGAGAAAATAAGTAAATAAATGAGCAAGTGAGTGAATAATTGCATGAGTGAATGAATGGAATTATTACCCTCTATTATTTTATTGTTTTCTTAATTTATTTTATTTTTATGAAAATACCAACCTCCATTTCTAACCTCACAGTAAACAAGCTCTTTTTTCAATTTTGCAGCTTCTTCTTTAAGTCTTTGATTTTCTTTCCTCAATGACTCAATTTTAGCCTGAAGCATGTAATAATACTGATAAGTAAGCATTCTATTGTCATTGTCCCACTGGCCCACTACCCTCAAAATACACTTATCCTATCATTATAGAAGAAATGTCATCTAGCTTACCTGAGAGCTGGGGGATTGATTTTTATCTGGTAAGACAAAAAGAAAAAAAAACATGTTATAATTAAATATGGTAAACGCATTACTGTAGCATGACTGGAAGTGTTTTTAAGAGTCAATAAGCTGTGCCCCCCCTGAAACCTTAAATAGTGGGTATAAGCTTAATGTTGGGGATTAATAAGGTCTCCACTAACCCCTCCCTCCCTGTGGTACAAGCATTCATAACCCCTTCCTCCCTGGGGTACATGCTTTGATATTTCAATATTATCATTTAAAGAAATGATTTATGACTTGTTATCTTTACCATAGATCACGTGAGCAATTTTGATCATCTTATTAAATATTAATCAATCTTCAATTTCTATTAACTAGTAACTAGTAATTAATCAAATTGTATATGTCTTGAATTGTATCAGATAACAATACCTTAACTACTTACACTCAAATTAAAGATACAGTATTTCAATGGATATTTCATAGAACACGAGTACAGATGCAAGCTTAAAAACTGAAAAAACCTTACCTACAGCTCTCTGAAGGCAGTCAAGATGTCCTTTTAACAATTCCACCATTTCTTCTGCCTCAATGGCGCGCTTTTCAACACGTTCAAGAATCTCGTTATTCCCGACCATAATTGATCGCACTAAAGAAGCTCTTAAACAAAAAGAATGTTTAAAAAGTTGACGAGAAAAACTACTCGAAATGGACAAACTCCCGATCATGTAGAAGAATGAGCCTGCTGTAATCTGGTAAGCGGTATTACGACAAGGAACCTRGAGCATCATTATAGGTAATGAAAAATAAAATAAATAAATATCAAAATAACCAAAGTATTGTAAAATACTGAAGAAATTTACCATACGTTCGTTTTATAAAACCAAAGGTTTCAAAAATGCTCATAATTTGAGATGAAAAAATACTCAAAATTTTATCTAGTGCCCAATCTTTTTCGACCTAAGGCAAGGAACGTCTGGTAGTTTTCTGCTTTCTCGACTCCTTTTCTTCTAATTTTGCTATTTTCTCGTATCTACTACAAACAATGAGTGATATTTTGAAATTTTTGACGTTGATTGGGAAGTTAAAGGCTACGAAAAGGACAGGATGGGTGCAGCGTGGTGTCCAATCCCCGGAGAGCGTCTCAGATCACATGTACCGCATGTCTATCATATGTTTTCTACTTGGAGGTGTAACAACCGACGATACTGCTGCAAAACTAAACAAAGACCATTGTATCAAACTCGCGTTAGCCCATGATATGGCTGAATGTATAGTAGGAGATCTTACTCCATCAGACGGAGTTAGTAAAGATGAGAAACACCGTAAGGAGAAAGAGGCAATGGAGCAACTATCTGAACTTGCTGGCGAACAAGCTGGCAGAGAGTTATACGAACTTTGGGAAGAATATGAATATCAGAAGACTCCAGAAGCGAATTTTGTCAAAGATGTAGATAGATTTGAGATGGTTTTGCAAGCACATGAGTATGAAAGTGAGGAGAATCAGCCTGGACGATTGCAGGATTTTTTTGATAGTACAAAAAGGAAGTTTCAGCACCCTCTTGTTAAAGGATGGGTGGACGAACTGAATAAGACAAGGAACGAAAACATAGATGGGAGTAAATAACGTGTACTCTAAAGCATCCAATATTTGTTGCAAATTATTTTAAACTTTAATATTTATCTTGTTTCTTTGCTCTGAATTGCCTCTGTCAGGGGTGGATCCAGAGGTGGCTATAGACCTCTTCGGCTTGGGGTAATGTTTTCTCATTTCAGACCATGTGTCATTCCCTTGAGAATAGATTCTTTGTTTGAGTTGTATTCATATTCATGTGTCATTTTATGTGCAACGGGGCGCAAACCTTAAACAAAGAAATGATACTCTAGGGAATAACATGTGGTCTGAAATGGGGAAAAATTACGTCAGAGCCAAAGAGGTCTATTGCTCAACTTTATCAGTATTATCCTTAGTAAGCTAACCACCTTATTCTCGTATTCCTTTTGAAAAAAAAGGTTTTTCTCAGAAAGTGTAAATGTAATGAATGCAAATGCAAACACAAGGATCAAACGTTTTCATTTTCTATTTTACCAATCTAAACAGGTGTCTTTGGGATAGTAATAAGTACCCTAATATAGAACCCATCCTACATGTATGTGGTTACAACCCATTAATCCCTTGGGATTTTTCTTTTAGAGACAAGAAGCAACAAAAGGAATCCACCTGATTATATCCATGTTGGTGTAGTAACAAGTTTAATAAATTAAGCATACACATTTATTGTATGTCTAATCTTTAAAATATCTTAAATTATATTACTATTATTTATTTTTATTTCTAATATAACAAAGCTGAAACTATGAGCTAACATTGCACACCTCTACCATTACCATTGCAGCTAGTAACTAAAGTCTTTTCAAGGGTGGATCCAGCCAAAATTGTAGGGGCTAATTGAGTTTAGGGGGGCTAATTGAGTTTAGGGGGGCTAATTGAGTTTCTTCCGTCAACACAACGGAAAACAATGTAAAAAAGCATCGTTTTTTTCTGCTGAAGGGGGACTTCAGGCCCCATTTGCCCTCCCTGGTTCCGCCCTTGCTTTTCAGTTCCCTAATGAAATTTTTCAGTAAATTCATTCATCTAAACATTTGATTGTTTGTCCCTCAATACAACCAGCTGATCATGAGAGACCACTAAAATTCATTCCACATGGAATATGGATTCACCGACTGATCCCTTCAAGAGAGACCTAACAAACTCTGCTCACATGTGATACCGAGTCCAGGAATCCAATCCAAGACCACAAAGGTGGTTAATTCATTATCACTACCACTACAACACCCCATACCATCATATACCCAGATTAGTTTAACCATTCTTGAAAGTTGACCTCTTTAGCTTGGGCATAACGTTTTCAGTTGTTGCGACTCCCGTCATGGCTACCATTACATGATGGTGCAAAGCCTCTATTAACTGTGGTCTCTACCGTAGTTATGTGTGTGTCAGAGTATATTTTATATAGCAAAAAATGAGATATTGATGTGCCATGTAGTGATTAGGAAGGTGGTCACCAGTCAACACATTTGACCTTTGGTGTAATGTTTCCCATTCCAAACCATGTGTCATTCCCTACAGAATAAAATTCTTTGTTTGAGTTGTATCTATATTCATGTGTTTCCCATGTGCAACTGTTAAACAAAGGAACGATACTCTAGGGAATGACACTTGGTATGAAATGGGAAAACATGCCCGAACTAAAGAGGTCTATTCAAGGCAAAATATTACAAGCAATTTTATTTTAATTTCTTTTAAACCCTCTCAAATTTGATCAGCATACCAWGAACYTATTTTGCCAGTTTTTCCAAACTTGTAAGGGCAATAGAATTGCAATGAGATTTAAATTCATGAACAATAATTCAAAAATACTTATCAAGATATTGCAAAAAAAGGTTTTTTTGAAGTCAGTTAAAATTTTCAATGAGTATGGTTTCAACTTTGTCTTATTTACTGTATTCTATCTCTATCAAGCCCTTTAATTTAAGCCATGAATATATATTACTTTAGATATAAAAATATATCTAAAATAAACAATAGTAATAGTTAGGAAATGGACTCCAAATTACTGTAAAGTATAGACCAATAGCTTATCATTATATCCTATCTTTATCCTACAGACCACCTACCGACAACCTGTTGACACCCTAAAAACACCTTACCAACAACCTACTAAGAACCTGATGACACCCTTAGGACACCTTACCAACATGCCACCATCAACCTACTGACACCTTAAATGACCCGCCAACACCCCAACAATGACCTACCAACAACCAGCTTCTGATACCCTACCAACATGCCACCATCAACCTACTGACACCTTAAACACAACCACCAACACCCCAACGATGACCTACCAACAACCAGCTTCTGATACCCTACCAAAACATTACCAACATGCCACTATCAACCTACTGACACCTTAAACACAACATCTATACAACAACCTAATAAGAGCCTATCAACAACTTCAGCACCAAGGGGTCGCATTCTATGCTATTACTATACTTTAATGTTAAGTTTTTAGGTTGCCAGTAGGAGTGCCGTGAGATGGTTCCTAACCGCTAGACGTTTCCTCTTGAATTGGACTTGTTGCTCTAGTTGCTCTAGTTTTAGTCTTGGCTGCTGCCTGCATCGTGTTTTCATGTTTTGTATCCTCTAGAGCAAGTTGTAAATTAAGTATACGAGCCTCTAGAGTTTGGTTGATTTTTTTCTGTGCAGTATATTTTTCTTCTAATGCCTGAAAATGAAAACAAACCAGATAAAGTTAGCTAAGTTTGAAAATCTGTATACTAGAATTTTATATACTTTGATCAAATTACCTTGTGTTTAGCCAAGTAAATTCCATTCAAGCTCTCAGAAAACTTTCTAAACTCCTTCATTTCAACATCCTGAAATATCACATAGAAACATTACTGGTAAGTTCAATAAGGAAAGGTACAGCGCTGTTATTAAGGGGGGTGGGATTGGAAATTCAGAGGGGAGGGTCACCAATAAAAATGTGAATTTTTGTAGAGGGTCAAACCTTTTTATTTCGGCAAAAGCTAGCTTCTAGTTGACTTGATAGGAAGGAAATGAATTTCTTACTCAGTAAAGAGTTTAAGGGGGAAGGCCAAAACTATTTTAAAAAGTATGCGGGGGATTCCACAGCACCATTATCACTCCCCACACCCCACCCCAGTAAAAAAAACCTAGTTTTCTTCCAGATGTAAAATTGAAATTATAAAAAATATGTTTTACAATACTAATGAATTTTATACCTTTTTTGTTAAGTGTTTCTCCAGTTCTGCAACCTTTGAATGCAAGGCTTCTATTTCAGTTTTCTGTTTCCTTACCATTTGCTTAGAGGCTGAAAATAAATATGAAGCCCAAAAAAGGGTTAATCTTGACATTAAAACCTTTCAAAATGTTATATAATGGATCCAAAAAAATGGGGATCCTCTAAAAAAAATCACTGCAACAGCTCCAGTCATAAAATACAATGCATTGTGGGATATTTTGGAGTCCAAAAAATGGGGATCCTCTAAAAAAAATCACTGCAACAGCTCAAGTCATAAAATACAATGCATTGTGGGATATTTTGGAGTCCAAAAAATGGGGATCCTCTAAGTAAATTACTGCAACAGCTCCAGTCATAAAATGCAACACATTGTGGTATCATTTTGGCTTCAAAGCATGATGATGCTCTACAGTAAAAGCTAACAGTTTCAATATAAAGTAACTATTTCATCCTTACCTGTTAACTCTTTTTGACAAGCATAAAACTGCAAGCTAGCTTCAGGTTTCTTTCCCTTATCAACAGCCGCCTTCTCCATCATATCCTTATGGTGCTGATTCAGTTCACCCATTATCACAAGTTCTTTTATTAGCCTCTCTATTTCTGACTTCAGTTGAGATTTTTCGGCAAGTTTGGGCTTCATGCAGTCAATTTCATTTTGTAAGGTGAATATCTTGGACTCACACTGGTGTAGTTTCTGCAACAAATAGAAATTGGTGTTGCCTTTATGCAAAGATTTATCATACATAAAGAAATCAATCCGAGATTGGGCTTTCATATGATAACATCAAGATATACAGTCCTTTGACTAAATGTTGTCGTTGATCGGATCATCCCTACGCGCCTAGACCTAAAAGGATAACGGGTAAATTACACAGAACTTGCGTCATCCAAACTGCTTGCCAGTTTAAATCTTCGCCGTATGCTCGAGGCATGGTTTTAGCAAATTAAATGGGATCGAAAACAGTGAGCTCAAGTCGTGTTAGATAACATATGCRGCAGCTAGTAACTGTGAATTAATTATCCCCATGATCCTTTTCGGTCTAGGCGCGTAGGGATGAAGCCGATCAAACAACAACGTTTAGTCAAAGGACTGTATATGGATCGTTTTGCTGCATTTGTTACTGTTTATGTTTCTTAAAATATCACATAGTAACACTTAATGACCAAACAAACAGAGGTTAGAGTTTATTCTGTCATTTATACCTCACCCACCAAGGGCAGGAGCCTTGTCTTTGGGGAATTACAGTATCTGGGAGAATTGACGTCCGAGTTGAAAGCTGGGAATAGTATTCAAGAGTGTGTCCACAGGGCGTAAGAGTTATGTCTACAGGATGAGACAAGGACATTCTGAGATCAAATGTTGACTGCTTTACCCGGCGGGGGGGAGGGGTACTCCCATATATKGACTATACGGGGATGATCCTCTGAACAGGGTATGGTTTTTCGAGCTTCTTGTCATAAACAGGGTATGGAATTTCACTCAAGGTCCAATTTCTTCCTGAGTTTCTTGTCATATTCAGGATTTCTACTTTCGTATTGACTGAAACTGGTTACCATGGTCGTAAAAAAACAATACGCGAGATGACATGATAATTGAAACAGGAACTCAGTGCAATTAATTATATCTTTTGTCATAAACAGGGTCTACAAATTTGATTTTTTTGTCATAAACAGGGTACCCCTTTCAGAATCCCAGCAGAACACCCCTACCCAAATTCTGGTGGAGAACCCCCCCCCCCAGGGCTGCTTTACCCATACTTAAGGACACCATATCCTATCCTTGGTTTCTATGACACTGATGGCATATTACACAAAACGTGTGCAAAATCTATTCTAATAGAGTCACATGTCTTACCATTTGTAAAGAGTCATGCTCTTTCTTTTGATTTTCCAGAGTGTCGTTTAGCATCTTCTTGTCATGTTGTAGCTTAGCATTTTCATTTAGCAGATTTCTAGTAAAAAAAAATGGATGCTCATTTGAAAGAAATGTTTTTATTCAATTTTGTCTCGTTATCACTAAATAGACCTCCTCAGTTCAGGCGTTATGTTTTCCCATTTCAGAATATTTGTCATTCCCTTGAGAAAAAGTTTTATTCATATTCATGACGCGTCTTCTCATGTGCAATAATGGCGCACAACTATTAAACAAATGATACTCTAAGGAATGGTCTGAAACAGGAAAACCTGAGCTCACCCATCTATTGCACTAGTGACCTACCTCAGTTGTGTTTGTTGTTGGTTATCCCATCCTGAAGTTATTTCCTTGAATTTACTGGAGTTAATGATAAGAACATCAAATGAATACGATGTGTAAAATAAGTAAATAACAAAATAATGAGAAACTCAGCTCGCATAAATAACATGAAAGCCGAGATGTCTGTAGGCAAACAATTTGTGGAGGTGTTATTGCATGCAACATCGTGCTTGTTGCTTGCCAAGCTTGAAATGTATTACATATGTGAAGAATGTCGGTGCCCACAAGAAAATATACTGGAAAATTGCGCAAACAAAGATAGAGAAAATTTTATAACGTTGTGATATTACTACGATTTGCGATCTACCGTGAAGTGTGACGCGCCAAACTTGTTTATATAAGTCATATCCCAGACGTTTGGTACAAATAACAGTCAAGTTTGACATGAGAAACTTTATAACTTATAAAAACAAGACATAACTTATAAAAACAAGTTTGGCACGTCACGCTTCACGGTAGATCGCAAATCGTAGTATGGTATGTCCATCGAAATACTTCAAATAAGGCTTGGTATGCAGCCTGAAACAAAACCTTCACAATCATTTTCTGAAATAGCTGTATGTGTATACAATCATGTACCTGTTATCTTCAGTTTGTTTTATCAAAGATTCTGTCAATTCTCTCATTTTTTCCTCTTGTAACCTGAGATGGTCTTTCTGTGCAAATTAAATGTACGATAACATTTTTATAAATGTTAGCTTTATACATTTATCATTATTGTTTTTTTTWAATAATTACTAGACACAGCAGCAAAACCTTCAATATCATCAGCAATTAGATTACACTTTCAGCTGTTACAGCACACTACCACCACCAACATCATCAGCAGTTACCATCATCATAATCACCAGCATCATCATCACCATCATCACCATCATCAGCACCATCATCACCATCATCATCACCATCATCAGCACCATCATCACCATCATCATCACCATCATTATTATCACCATCATTATCACCAGCAGCAGCACCATCATCACCATCATCATCACCATCATCATTATCACCATCATTATCACCAGCAGCAGCACCGTTATCACCAACATCATCATTAATAGTCAATAGGTATTTGATTAAGTATGTCTTACAATGGCCAGAAGTTCTTCTTCATACTGCACAGCTTTGAATGTCTTGCCGATAAGACGTCTGTTACGTATGGCATGCTGGTAACACTTGTGTCTCTCATACAACAACTGAAAGTGTAGTAGCTGGATTTGACCACGCAAAATTGTAATCTCATCCACAGGGGCTTCACCTGGATTAAAGGTAGATATAAGGATTAATATTAGTTGGAATATAATTTTTTTCCAGTAGAGAAAACTTATTTACAGCTCCCCACACCAGAAGGCACATAAGGCAATAAAGGCTGTAAAGAACACTAGTAAAATGTTAGTTATATGACATAGTGTTTAAGCAGGGGAACGGGCTAGCTGGCTCATCATCCCCTTTGGAATTCAAGAAATATGAGTAAAGGGTACTGGTTTTCTAGGCAACTGACAGTAGTACCCCTCCAAAAGAATCGAAATCATCTTTGTTTTGAATACACCAGTCAAAGAAGAATGTGGTATGTGACATCAGGGCTTAAAATAACAGCCGATAAGTCACCAGTCATGATGAACGGCCAAATTAGTTTTAGATCGGCCATACCTCGTTTCTGGCTTAACATTACTGGTCAAAATGACCGGCAAGGCAAAGRTTTGACAGGACAATTCATTTCCAATTCTGGATTTCCAATTCTGGGAAGACATTGGACCATTATTTTAAGCCCTGAACATTATGATAAACAAGCTTTTTTTTACCTCCAAAATGAGTCCAATCAGTTTCAGGAGAGCTTACAAGCGATATTCTACAAAATTAAAATATAAAATCTGTTTAATACCTTGAATTTGGTCCACAGGATGGGTGGCTATATACTTGTTATATGCAATTTTGCCTGTCAGTTACATTATGAGAGAAATAAAAATCAAAAGTTTACACCTGTGGTGTACCACAGTAACAATGCTTGGCCCTTTTTTGTCAGTAAAAGTTAAATAATGGTAATTTCTAGCAGAAGAAAAAGATGAGATAACAAGAATTGACCACTGTTAATTTCTGCAGTACCTGTGGTTTGCCACAGGATGATCTTGGGTTTCTTTGGGTCGGTGTCCACTGGTAGAACGAAGCTTGGAATTGGACAAAATAACAAAAACAAAGAAAGCATGGATTATGGTGAACAATGTGTATTGTTCTACATGTGAGCTGCGTTCTTTGTTTTATCTCACCATTCATTGTTTGTTCATCCACTCCCAGGCTTTGTTCTGTCGGTTGTGGATTACCCGTTTCTTTTAACGGCAGCAATTTGGGAATAGTAAAAATAAATTGAAACATTCATTTTAATGGAAAATACTTGTGGTGTGCCACAGAAATGATATTGGGTCCTTCTTAAATGTGGTAATTTGGGCCACAAAATCTAACGCAGTTGGAAAATGCCTGTGGTGTGCCACAGAATTGATATTGGGTCCTTTTTAATAGTGGTAATTTGGGCCACAAAATCTAACGCAGTTGTCTATGGATCATAAAATAAACAGAACTATCCCTTTATCCCTAATGGTTGGCAATGTTTACCTTTTGATGAAATTCATATAATATTACCATGGTAACTGGTTTCTATGGTAACTACACCTACCTAGATAGCTCATTTAATTGAACCCCTGATCCTACTTGAATATAATTATCTAATAACTCGATAGGTGTTGGCCTAGGAGATAAACATCTCTTATAATCGTCATCCTGTTCGTGTCTTGCTCCAGGGTATTGCCCCTTTTGATTTAACAGCATAGCTAAAGTCTCAGAATTATATGAATTCTGGTGGTCGTCCTGTGGTGTGGGAGTGACCAAACGAGTCCTTGAGCCTTCAGATATCTCAGAACTGTGAGATACTAAAGTATTCTTACTTTCACTCTTATAAGGCATGAGATTCGGTTCTTCAAGTGCATGTTTTGAAACATCCTTCATTATTTTCTCAACATCATCGGACATACCAATTGTGAATTTATCATTCGACAAGTTAATATGCTGCAGTCCTTGAGATAAGATACCATTAGACGAGAAATTACTGTTTGACACCAGGGATGCATCTAGACTTGGTGGAGGGTTGACAGGCGATTCTGCATTTTGCAACGAAGCAAAATCGTTCTGGCTAAGAATTCTTTTTATTTCTTTGGTAGCATTATCCATTGTCTCACTATGATCACTACAAGTTAATTGCTCCTGCATCTCATGTTCTGGCTTGACATTACGAATATAATCATAAGTAAGGGATTTATCTATTGGTGTGATTGGCTCAGATTGTACAGACAACTCTGACGTTTGCCTCTCATAGTTAAACTTGCTGCTCTCGACTTCAGGACTCGATAAAACATGACTAGAATCAGTTACCAAAGTCTCTGTTTTGGGTGTTGATGTTTCAGCTTTAGTTTGAATTGACATTGAATTTAAAGCTCTATGAATGAGAGGGCTGTCAAGCCCTACAGTCTTACTAGGTGTGCTCTTGCCACTTAGCGTCTTTGCTAAAGTTTTTCTATTTTTAAGTAGAGCAGGACTACTTTGTGCCAAATCACCAGCCAAGGATGATGTCGGTGAATCTCCTGGGGTACTTGCAAATCCAGGAGTACTACATTGTGAGATAGAAAGGTTCGCTTGTACTGCTACCAAATCTTGACTACTCGTCGCTGGTGACATGTGACTAGAAGGTGGGGTAGACAACCCACACATCTCTGTTGGACTCCACGCACTATTAAAATCCTCCGACGACACTAACGGTATACTTCCAGTACCACTATCTCCACTTTGTAACGACTTTCCAGTTTGTGTTGCTGAGTCAGACATCCTCCTCTCTTTGATTATTGGTACGTCGCAAACCTCTTTGTTAAGGTCTTCGGATGTTGTGAGTACTGAGTTCACAGATTTGTCTTGTGTATTACCAAGTGCATCGTGAAGGGATGTCCAAGAGGTTGTTAGGCTGCTATCAGTCTGTAGTCTGTCTAATGGATCCAATGACATATTTTCACATTCTATCACAATGTCTTGGGGCTCCTTCTTCCTCCACCTATGGAAATTGCAAAAGCATAAAAGTTCTACTCAATAGAAATCTCCTGAATTTGTATGAACTCAATCACTGATTTCAGGACTGGGTTTGATGTGACGTCTTCAGAGAATTTGTTGCTTCTTATCAAATCCAACTGTGAATCAGTGCTCTACTTTAACTATTTTCATGGGCTAGTAGAGCTGAGAAGTTACTAGCCAACAGATAACCCTTAGTAGTCCTTTATCTAAATAAACTACTACAAATTAGTGAACCGCTAAGGTTGTGCACTGTGAATCCATTGTTTTTGGTTCACTCAAGTAAAGTTTGGAAGCATCTATTATTTTTAAATAGGGGTAAAAAAGGGAGGCAGTCATGGCATATTATTTTGCACTTTCAAGGGCTGTACATGGACTGAAACAAATGATAGAAAAGCAAAAAGGGAAAGTGGCATACCTGTGCTTGCCAGTTTCCGACTGAGATGTCTCTGTAATGAGGCATGGGTGAAGACGTACATGCTCCAGCATTGGCTGCAAGAAAAAATGAAAAAATGAAAGGATGAATAACGGTCAAGAAAATCAACTTCTAAATTTCAATTTGTTCATGGAATAAGGGGAAATGTTTGTATGATAGTGACTTTTAAGTGCTTCCCTCTTAAAACAAGGAATTTCTTTTATTCATTTTAATACTTCATTGCCTGTATTGGTACCCCTGTATTACCACAATATTAGAACCTGGCAAAAGTATCAAAAAGTATTCTGTATATACTTATTTAGTGTTCCATACCTTAATGATGGTTTGAAAGACAATCTGTTTCCTCGCATTATTATGACAATATCCTCTTAGAAACATGACAAAATTGTTCGGGTACATGGCATAAATACGATGAAAATAGAAATACACCGACACATGGAGGTGCAACATGTAGATATCAGGAATGTTGCCTGCAACAGAACGCWATGAAAACTTACTATTGAAAGCGCATTCCTTTGGAATGCCCATCTGATGGTAGCAAATTTATGTACGCAAGATTTCGAGTAGCATTCATTTATGCTAGCATTTGATAGAGAAAATGGACTTGGAAGAAGATTGAGCAAGATTATCTGGACTATATAATGCTTCAAGTTGAATTGAAGATTTTTGACGAGAGGAGTTCTTATTCTCACATGGTACACAAAAATCTCATCTTGTGRCACAAAACTGCTGCAAGAAGTGCATTCCAACAGATGTTTTATAATGGTAATTGAACTGAGTGGAGTGCAATTTGGTCTGAAATCAAACTTGCGATTACAAATCACACTCCCGCTACGCGGTTGTGTGATTTTGTAATCGCGAGTTTGATTTGAGACCAAAATTGCACGACACGAAGTTCAATTACCACTTAATCATATCCTTTTTGTAATCATACACAAGAAAAAGGCACAAGAAAAAGTGCAGAATAATCAGTTTAATGTAGTAGAAGAACTAAATGCGAACAAAAAAAAACATCTAAAAAAACTTTTTTTTAAATTTTTTGTTTTATTTTATTGTTAAAAAAAAATTTTTTTTAGAATGTGATTAAGAGCTCCTAAGGATGCCATTTGGGAATTAATCGCACTCCTTTGAACCAATCAGATTGCAGGATTTGGTAGTGATTACAAAAAGGACGTGATTAACCACTATATTACAATTTTTATATTAGTTAAGATTTCAGACAAGATACCATTCCCTTGAGTATCATTACTTTGTTTACCAATACATACATGTACAGTAAAGATTTTTAGAATGTATAGTAAATCTAGATGCCGTTAAATCTCATGAAATGGGTAAATGGTATAAACAAGCCAAAAAATTCAATTTTTACCTGGTCTACTGTTAAGAAAGCCAGCAAGCCTTGTGTAGACATCAAAGACATCATTCAACCAGGATTCCACATAGGAGGCAATGATTGGCAACAATGTGGTGATGGTAAGGGCACCATTCATAAGATACAAAACATCCGACTCACTCTTGAAAGGAATAGGAGAAAGGGAATTAAAGTGAATTAGTATTCTATTAAGGTGGGTTTCACTGCATTCGTAAATGGGAATTTGAGTACAGATCTCTTAATAACCAACAGTCATTGAACAATATCTGGCCAGAATTGGAACTTGTCTGGTCAAGTCTTTGCCTTACCGGTCATTTTGACCAGTTACGTTCAACTAGAAATGAGGTATAACTGTGCTAAAATGAATTGGGCCATTATCATGACCAATAATTTTTCTAGGCCTTGGGAACAAACATGGCAGATCATTCAAAACAACCACATAAGCACAAGTGAGGAAAGAAATGTTTTTTCTTTTTCTTATTTTCCCAGTAAATCTCTTGTATGTCATATGGGTTTCTAAATATCTAAGGGGCTTATAACTCGAAGGATATTTGCATTATCAGAGGATTGCCCAGGCTTATGGCAAGGGAGCTTATAACTGGGAAGTTTACGATATACTATGAAAGGTTTATTTTTTAAAAGAATCAAAAACTTACCTTCATACTCTTAATGACTGTTTCAAAGAGAGGTGTTTTGACTATCTTGTACAACCAAGATGGCTATAGAAAACATGAAATATTCAATAAATATTAAATACTGGTACAAGAGATTTGCCTAAGTTCAAAGACATGTTTTTCTAAAAATTATATCAATGAAATTTTTAAAACTAATTAAGAGTACATTGAGATATAGGCTCTTTTTCTGAAAATATTTAGAGGTCAGAAAATTATCTCAGAACCTCTCTAACCTTATACAACTATAAAAAACCTTTCCCAACCCTCTCCTCCAAAATCAGGAAAGCATGCAGTACAGCATGCTAATGTATGGTGTAAATGTCAAATGACACACAAAGTTTATCAGTCAGAGATTGAGCAACTCTGTCAATATTTGTGTCTGATTTCAAGCTATGTGCAAGGAAAAGATGGAAAAAATTACAATAAGACTAAATATGGGAGTTGTTACAAATTTTAGTAATGCAACAACAAGAGGCTAATTAAGGGTGTAACAGAATGGAATAGTTCTTGTATATATAGATTTTTTCTACAGTACACTTAATAATAATAATTAATTGCATGGCAATGTTTTGATTCTATATATTGCTTAACGAATTTATGCTATCTTTCAAGACCAATAAAAAAAATCATGTGCAAAACGTGTCTTTAATTACTGGAAATAATAACTTGAACTAAAGAAAACAATTATCCTCTTAATAGAATTAAAGGACTTAATTTTGAAAATAATTGGAATCGTATGATAAATTGCCACACACGTTATAGGAATATTATTTGTCAACTCACGATTGGAATGGATATCATTGAGTAAAATCTCGCAAACATTGAGAAATCACCTCACGAAAACGTGCACGCGATGTGAATTAAGATAGTTGAAAGGTCAATCTACGTATACGTGGCCTTAATTTAGGAAAAGAAATAGTGATTAAGTGTATGAATAAGTATGGATCTATTTAGGGCGTTATCCAACCACATAATAGTGGAAAAATGCCACTATAGAGTTTAGTTTTAACTTGTGTTTACCTGTTTTCGTACGATGTGACCAAGTAGAGTCATGGTATCGATACGACCACGAAGGCCACAATGTCTGAGGCAATCGTTGAGTTTTTCAAATAAATTCTGCAATAAAAAGAACAAACATATATTGAAATAAGCTAAAAGATGATAAAATTTAAGCTTTTATTTACTCAATAATTAAAGATCTGTGAGATTTWAAAAAATGTTAACTTGCATGTACAAGCTTGAGTAAGACGTTAAATCAAGGTGTTAATTAAGCAAGCCATTAAAAATCAAAAATATCAAAAATATCTACAATTTCACATATATAGCGTGTCTTAAACGTGAGTAAATAATTATCTAAGAGTGCACTAAATATTGCATATTATCTTATTAATCTGTGAGAGGAATATTTTTTAAAGAGGACTTACATGTGTTCGTGCTTCGTGCACATTGGTCAAGATCTGCAATGCAGTTGGTGACCGCGTTTCCAAATAGCAATCGACCAGAGCATTTAACAGACTCGTATCCCGAGATTTATATAGGTTCTCGTGTATAATTGCTTTAGTCTGCTCTACTGTTTCCGCATTCTCGGAGTCTAGTAGAGCAATGAGCTCAGTAGGTCTGTCTGACGTGCTCTCGCTTCCACTACTAGTACTGCTAGGCCCACTACTACTCATCTCTAGAACAGAGTGTTTCTGTTCCTTTGTACGCTGTTAAATAACCAATTTGAAACGATAAATACGAGGTCCATGCATTAAGACGAAAGGCTGTGTCTGTGGTTTTAGAGTTCATAAGGTCACATAGCTATAGCAGTAAGTTTTTTGTCCTTTACTCCATCGTACGTCCAACTCTTCTTCATCCGCCATTTTTCATTTCGAATTTTAATTAATCACGTGCTGGCAGCGCATTGACTGGACTTGGCGTACTGCTGACCTGTGGGTCTGTCACGCGGGATTCCCGCTTTTTCTCGAAAACCAAAAGGGGAAAATCGTTTTTCTTTTCCGTTTTCATATTAATTTGAATGAATTTGCCTTACATAGAACACAACCATCTGAGGAAATATTTGAGTTCACTTTTTTAAATGATTTGAGAAGAATGGGGGTGGGGTGGGGGGAGGGTGGGGTTATGGGTGGGGCAGAAGCAGTGCATATAGTAGTGGCACAGCAAGTATGATATTTTGAAAAGTCATACAAAGCTGAATTTATTCATACAATAAATGTAGGGACTTACAGTTTAACACAAGTAAGTAGAGTATTGTATATAGAATTAATTGGGATGATTAATAGATCCCCATAGATCAATATGCCCTATCCCTAAAAATATTAATTTTTTACAACTTTCATGATCAAAACCCAACGTAGAACTGAATGAGTGAACAAATGAATAAAYGAATGAATGCACAAATGAGTGAGTGAATTAGTAAATAAACAACAATCAAGTTTCATTTCTGAATTAGTCTGTTTTATTTTAAATAGATTGCCAAACAAGGTCTTTCCTTTCAAGGTTTTTTCAGATTTATTTAAAACCTTTATAAGATCTTTTCTAGGTTATTTCAGATATATTTGAAGATTTTATATGAACCTATTAGATCAGAACTCTATCCAGAAGCAACGTAGAAATAAATCTGAATGATCTAAATCAAGAACGATGTCCCCAAGCAAAGTTGAAATTGTATTAATCTTTGCTGTTATTTACTGAAATAATGGAACTCGACCAGTTAATCTTTGCCTTGCTTTTTATATTCTAAGCTATGAATCTTGCCTGGGGATCAATTAATGAATTAAGGAAATATCTTGTACCTTAAAAGACAACATTTTCTTCACAAAATGTCTTATTACACCCCTATACAAGCCTTTTGAATTAACAATATTTTAAAAATATTGTTAAAAGCACTGACAATAACTTTTAGAGATTCAATTTTTTAAAGATTTAAGACCTATTTATTTTTAAACTACCCTACCATTACCTATAGCACAAGCAGGAAATGCATTGATGTAATAGATCAAAAACGAGTGCGAGTGATCGATCAGGGCATCCAAACACTGAGAAACAGATGAAAGCACCAGGAGGTTAGGCTGAATGGTTTTATTCTTTCAAGGTGTTTGGATGCCCTGATCAAACACGAAGCACAAGGTTTTTAACTGACTTCTCAGTCTCATTATAATATTTCATTTGTTCTTGAATCTCGTTAGACTAAAAAAAGTGATCAGTGTTTTGATCAGTGTCTTGGTCCATTTTTGATCAAGTATCATGATGCGTGCACATGACTACAATTGGTCATTGACCTCATGAATTATTAATGACTTTGAGAAGATTCTTATAACATGTTCAGTAAACAATACAACAGTAAACCTAAGGTACATTTCATAACATGAATTTGAATAACAAAAATACAGACTCAAAATAATGCCCAGATAATGTTAACTGACAATATCTGGCCGACTATCTCTTGACCAGTCGTATTGACTGATGATGATGTACAGTCCAATATGGCTGGTCATCATCATATCGGCAATTAAGCAGCCATTATATTTACCCCTGATAACAAATGCTCATTTATAACCGCATCGTAGTTTAGTAATTAATGTTTTGCCATATGATAATATACAAAAAGGTTCCAGTTTACAATACTACAGTTTCAAGTTCTCTTTGCTCAGCCTTAGTCTCGAATGTGTGTTATAATAATATTCAGCTATTCAACCAAATCCCGTGGCATTTTAATCAACTTGTATTGTTCTGTAGATCGCATATTCCTTACTATACAAAGGAACTTAAAAAAAGAAGAAAAAAAACACATTCATACAATATCAAGGCTAAGACTGAGCAAAGGCAAACTCAAAATGGGAGTTGGTCTTCAGCTAATGTATGTCAGCCAAATTTTCAAACTTTCAGAATACTGTATTAAGCAACTGCTATGTCAATTCATCGCCTAACAGTGCAGACACCAATAGCTAATATCTTATTAACCCACAGGTAGGGTAACTTTTGATTATTATTCCATATAAGAGTTTTTCAATAAGGTTTCTTTAACCTTCAAAACTTCTAGACTTTTGAGTTTTTGAATTAAATGAACTTCCATGTTAAAGTATTTGGTAGGTGGATACCAAAAATGCCCTGGYGTTATTTGACTGGATTAAAGAATTATTGAATGTGCTCCAATATAAACATAGCAACAAAACTGACCAAGTTTTAGCAAGACTTCAGTCTACTTCAGCAACAGTCTTGGAGAACACTTTTCTACCTCTCGATTGCCGTAATAAATAATTGTCTTTAATATAATGTTCCCATATTTTGAGTAAAAATGGTTGTCAATTATTTTCGTATTTTTCTGTCAARGACAGTCATGTCATCGTCATCATCATCATTGTCCAGCGGCTGCATCTCTACATCTCCAGACGAAAATATCATGCCATATCTGAGAAGTTAAATTAACATTTTAATTGTTTGTTTTCTTGTCCTTTTTCTATTCCAACCAAAACATTTAATYATCATTTTTTTAAATTGTTTTCCTATACTAGCAAAATACAGGCATATTAATGTTAAACATGATTGCAATGGCAAAAGATATCAATGTAACTGGGTAACCATGGTAACCATGTCAATATTACATACATTGGTAATGGTTGCCATAACAACAAAACAAGAATGACTGTATTTATACTGGTTACTATAGCAGCAAGTTACAAAGGAGTATATTTGTGAACATTACCATGGATCACTCTGACCGACAGTCTGGTCAATATAAACAAATGATATAATAAATGATAAATAAATAATGGGATTAACAGTGGATTCAACAGAGTGGCTCTTCTTCCACTGGATTCCAATTGGAATTTAGAAGTTGATTATTTATGGAGGGTTTACTGGTTAACCCAGAAAATAAGAGGCAAGCACTATCATCGCTATGTCATCAGCTGTGCTTTCCTGTCAAGAAAACTTGATTGGGACAACTTACTTTTTTGATTTATTTTTCCTGGATTTTGTTCTGATTGTTTTGACAATGAAATATAATGCTATCAATGCACTGCAACCAACAGCCTGTAATGATTCACAAAAAAAAAACATTTATTCAAAATGGAAGATTGAGATGTTAAAGGCATGAGTGTAACTTGGAATGAAGGGAGTAAAACCAGAGCAGCCTGGAGGAATTCTCTTGTTGAGGAGATTACAACACATCAAACGAACTCAACTCACACGAGATCCAATGGAGCATTGAGCCAGCAACTCAAAGGAATCAAGGGTAGCATAGCAGTTGTTCATTCATTTGTCTCTCACTACTGGGGTCTTGAGTTGGATTCCCAGACATGGCATTACGTGAGCAGAGTATCAGATTATCTCTCTTCCTTGATTCAAGGGTTTTTCTTTAGATTCTCCAGTTTTGCTCCCTATGCAAAACCTAAGATTCTAAATTCCAGTTCGATCTATGAAATAGCTGTGCCTTGACTTTAATCAGCCCAGAGGTATTATACATAAGATTTGGAAGTTTACTAAGCCTGTACTATGCAGCAGTGATATATAAAAAACACAGTAACCACATGCCACCTATACTGTATGATATATAATACTGCTTCCAGGACTGCAGAGTATTTTCAAGGCTTGACCTTTAGTGTGATGTGCATACTAGTCTACTAGTCTAGTCTCTCCCCCCCCCCCCCCCAACACACACTTTTTGTCCTCATACTGAATATCTACTAACAACTTTGATACATACCACATATAGCATACGCTTTAATAGTCCTTTATTGTTTGGAAATGAAAATCCAGTATTGCTTCCACCTGAATGACTACTCTCTGTGCTGTTCAACGTTCTTGATGTAGTGTGCGTTATATTTTTGTGTTTTGCAGTTGGTGTTGGTGTTGGTTTTGGTGCTGGTTTTGTCGGTYTAGCTTGACTGAAGAGATGTTCTATCAAAAAAAATATATCGTCTACTATTTCATGATACTTTCTTGTAATTATTTCTTGCTATAAATCTTGATTTTTGATAATTTAGGTTGATGGTGTTGGGAAGAGTTTCAGTCTGTTGTACGGGAAGACGTGGTTCCAATAAATTAAATTATTATAACTACAGCTTTAAACATTTGTAGTATAAGTTTAAGTTCTCGTGAACAGTAGAAAATATATAATATTTACAGTAAAATACCAAAAAGGCTATCTAAAAAATCCAGAAATACGATATAAGCTTAATGAGAGTCGAAAGGCGCCAGGAAAGCGAAATTGTACAAATGTTTAAGTTTTGATTATTTAAAAATGTTCTATAGTATTAAGGTGAAATAGAAAATAWTTTAAGTGGAAAAATATATGAATTGGATTAAAGAATCAGTTTGAAGGATGTTATTGAATCGATAATAATTAAAATTAGACTGGATCAATTAGTACGAGAGGAAGAAAACAACTGATTCAGCTTACAACTTTAAGGGTGAACAGGTGCCGTCAAAATCCTTTCAAAACAAACCGATCTCCTCAAACCATGTCTAAACAAGAACTTATTCCGAGATCATTATCAACCAGCGGAACTGGTAATATTTTGCAAGAATATTGCACAAGATGTTTGTTTCGATTAAAGACAAAAAGGTAAAGTTCGTTACGAAAGAGTTAAATGAAAATATGCAAAAATTGTAAACAAAAACGTTAGTAAATGGAATACCTTCAAAAGCGAAGATAACTAGAAGTATAAGTAAGCATTTGATGGTAGAAAACGCCATGGTTGAATCTCATGGAGGGGTTTAAATGGGTGTTTTTCTAGTGTTGTAGCCGTTTGTCCGCCATTACGTCTTGTTCTTATTTTAGAAGAGAAAATACGAATGTTGCAAGACACTACACATCCTGCCTTGCGAACGTCGTCCTTTCGATCCAGGGACACGCGGTCKTTATCCAACACAGTCATACCAACATATTGTCTATCGTATCATTAATACATCATTAATAATAAATTAATATCTAAAATTCTTTAACAAAGAGGGGAGAGAGGGGTTTGAAGGTGGAGAAGGACAAAATGATAAATGATTTGGAATTTTTTTGGATTGTGTTTGAGAGTTTTTGAGTATTTAATTATTTCCGAGGCGGAAGCCGGGGTAACGGTCCGTCGCCACGTCATCAAAGTTGACGCTCTCGTGGTCACACTTGAGTGGATCGTAGGACAGCTTATTTGCGTTTATTAAAATTAAGGATTGTCGTGTGTTTTTTTTCCCTTWTATCAAATTTGTATGCAATGAACCGAATGGTAAATTTATTTTCAGTCCTTTGAGGTCACGTGACTTAAAGGCCACCCAATAATGCTTTTTCCTTTTRATAAACTAATTTTCTCATTTTTAGATATTTTCGGGGTAAAGAATTCCAGTCAAAGAGGTTTTTATAACCCCTCAGAAAACGTGTGAAATGATCACTTCATCTTTACACTTCATTTAGTATCTTATTTTCTGAAATGAAATATCAACTCAAGTAAAATTAAACGTTGTGCATGCAAAATKAACTAAATAAATATCTTGATTATTTTTTGATGACGATATAAAATATTTTCAAACTTTCTTTTGAAAAATGAACAGTTTTATTTTATTTTTAAAAACCTCTCGATACCCCTTACTTAATTAATTAACAAATAACACAGYTTTTTCCGTGCTCCGTTCAGTAATAAAGCACGCAAGAAGCACGAGCCTTAGGCGAGTGATTCTCAGACTTCTTTTGTTCTTACGGCGCTTCCGAAGTGCTTTATTACTGAACGGAGGACGGAAAAAGCTGTTTTATTCGTTTTATTATAWAGTTACTTATTTTATTTCGGTATTGAATTTATTTACGCAAAAATAAAGACGGTCGCAGGATCTGGSAKYAGTTCGCGCGCGCAGATGGCGTCAGCRCTGTGCTCCRTTCACTAATARRGCACAGWTTTCGACCAATCAGYRYGCGCGTACTATYCCAACTATATAATAAATGATAATAAGCTAGGTTCCCTTAGTTACCATGTATAGTTATTGGTATTATTTTGTTCACTTTTTTATCATTTTCCCCTGTAGATAGAGTACTAATAGTAAAGTAATTTTTCTTCTTCTCTTTACTCTTATAACGAAACGTACTAAACGCTATAATTTGTGTCAAATAGACACAAAAGAAAACAATGAAAATATCACCAGCTTACCACTATTATTTCACGAATGAAGTAAAACCACTCTTTATCCATAAAACAGTGCTATAATTTGCACGGAATAGCACGGATGATACAATATACTGTTTTACACAATTCAGTGCAAAATTTAGTACTGTTTATAGATTTAGTGCGCCACTCTAGTGAAATTTAAAGTATGAGGGATGAATTTCTCGCCCTCTATTGAGCAGAGTAATAGATCAATGGAATTACCTAGCCTGTGTAGCGACCTTCTGCGGCGTCCGTGAAGAAGGAAGAGGGAGGCGAGTGCAAAAGAAATCTTTAGCAAATTTGGCGACACGATCCACACGCTCTCCCC